CCTCGTCTGCGGCAATGTCTTTGTGGGCGATTCTGTCACGTCGCCGCCCATGTTCCACCTCAACAGCCGACGGATTGACATGGAGTATGCTCGGCTCAACAGACGGCATTGTCACCAAGTCCAACGAGCCCTTTCAGAGGCTCACGCCGCGGGTAAGATCGCCAAGAACATTGCCTTGATGCCGACCGGTATAAGTCCCGGGTACAAGGCCTGACCGCTTTGTCGATAGTGTGGCCAGAGGGCGCTTCATGAGCTGAGTCTTTCTTAACACACAGGCACTGGCTGCTCTGATGCTGCAAGGCGCTGAGACGTGCGACTTTCAGTACTGGGAAGACGTCTTTGTCAAGGAAAGACAATCCAATCCAAACGCCAAACGTCTTGAAGCGACAGATAACGCTCTCTGACCGTCAGAGCTCGCGCGAAAAACATGAGCCGGATCATGAAAGCCCATGCCCGACAATCACGCCCGATATGGCGTCCGCAGCCGAGAGCGACGGTGGCGCCCATAGGTCCGATGCAACTGAGCCGACACACTCAGCGCTGCCACCTGCTGATCCTCGATGTGCGCGAAACCCGCGGAGTTTGAGGAATGGTATGTGCACTTTGGCTGAACGACACATGGCGCGTGGACGGTTTGGTCCATACCGCGGGCACTTTTGACCGTTTCCGACGACAGCAACATGGCATTTCAGATAGCCGCCGCCGTGTATCCTGCTGGAGCAGCCCGATTATCCCAGCGATGGAGCTCGCTTTTTGAACTGACCCGTACATGCTCGTATTCCGCCCTCGCCCTCAGTCATATCGTCACATCCAAGAAACTATCCGGTTTTTCGACTCTCTCGCGAAGCTTCCAGTTCTCAGGCGAAGTGCTGAGACTCAAAAACTCCCCTAGTGTTCTGATTGTGATCGTCGACGAGGACGAGCGCACTTCGAGCGCGATGATTCGTTTTTTCGTGGAGCGCGGATATGAAAACGTGCGACTGCTTAGCGGAGTGAGTTATGCCAGCAACGTTTACCATGGGAGGACCAAGGAACGTAGTGATAGACGCGGTATTTGTAAGAGCGCCATCATCCGCGATCCCACACTTGGTGCCCACTTCCAGATCGGTCTCGGCTGTTGAACCAAATCTCCTGGAGCTGCGCGGCCGGCTTCTGCATTGATTCTTCGCGCGAGCAGGGGCTCCACTATTTGCGAGATGTTGGATCTGCTCTTTAGACTCCTCCTATCGCACTCTACGTTTCAGGGATATCTACACTAGCGCGGAGGGTGCATGGCGTCTTAGTGGGTGTCCCGCCTGTTCGATGGTTCTCTCCACCGACCCAGGGCCCCAAGCGCACAGTCCAAAGGCGATTCACTGTCGCATCATTCCAAGAAGGGCCGTGCCTCACCCCATGCCCCCCAGCGGGGGTCAGTCGCATGCCTTGACTGACCCAGAACACGACAACTCCATTGTTGTTGTCAAAAACACCCAGCCGGCGGAACGCTGGAACGTAGAAGCACTCAAATTTAGTCTCGAAGCCATCAATGCAGCCACCGGCAAGTCCATCATACATCCCGCCAACATGGATGCGTGGATTGTGGATTGTGGATTGTGGGTTGTGGATTGTGGATTGCGGTGTGGGGAATCGTCTCGCAGGCCCTCAATCTTTCGATGATGCTTACTCCGCCATTGATTCATTCCAGCCAAGCTTCCAAGATCGCCTGCCCCTTCAAAGCCTCCATCGCCACATCCATCACCATCCCAGTCAATGGATCCGAGCCGATGCAGTACCCCGGACAGTTTGGCGCATGGTGTCGGGACACGCACCTCAAGCACCCCGCACCACGCCGCTCGTATCGGGACGCTCCACGCCTGCTGGTACCAACGAGAGCGAATACGCCGCCGAGATGACGCTGCAGACCTTCAAATCCACTCCGCCTATCCGCAGTCGTGTTCTGGGAGGGGGGTTGAGGAAGTAAGGGTATCTGTGGTGGGGGTTGCTGCATGGCATCGACACGATGTCGCATTGTCCGTTTGCTAAAACATTTGAAAAGCATTTTGAATAGATTTCCAATGACATTCGGATGTCATTTTGATGAAGCATGGATGGTATTGATCGATCGGTGCTGGGCTATTTAAACCGTGCCCTCTCCGTCACTCTCCGAGCAAGCAGGTGGCTCTGTCTCGGCTGTTGTCAAGGCATTCGAATAGTTGTGCCAAATAGCACTCGCTGAGCGTCATCATGTTCTTGCAGTGGTATCGGGGTCTTTCGGTCCAGTTGCTTCGCATCCGAGGTCGAGTCGCAACCTCGGGTACTGATCCGCCGGTTAAAGTTTGCCGAACTGGGTGAGCGCCCATGCTGACTCATGAGCCGGGCTGTTGGGCAATTATGGTTCTGTCCAGCACATCCAGACCTGAGCTGGCGGGACATGCCGCACAGGACCCAGCCCTTGATGGCGCTGAAGCCCGAGAACCCTCGCCCATCCCATCGAGATTCAACGATGCCTTCAGCCGCATGTCGTATATTTGTGCTGGGCAGTAGAGGAGCATGAATTCAGCTGGTGTTCGGGCGATGTTGTTCTGCAGCTGGGTGACTCACCCCGGATCAATTGCAGAGCCCCCTGGACTGCCGCAAGCGAAGCAGCCACCTGCTCCAGTTCCCACCCTTGGGAGATGATGGAACGGCCTTGGCTCTGGAGCTCTGGAGGTGTGTTGTTACAACCAAATGCGGTTCATTAGTGTTCTGGTTGACCTCGGCCGCGCCTTGCAACTGACCTGCATCCAGACTGCACATGACGGGGCAGCCAGCCTCTGGCATGGTGTCTGAACGATGCTGTTCTTCGACAGGTACAGTTCCCGCAGACCACGCGGCAGTCGACCCGATGCATGCAATGCCCGATGCATGCAATACTCACGGTGTTCGATGTCTCGAGGCTGCCCAGCGTCGTGCATGTCCATGTCCAGATTTCAGCAGCGGCTTGTCGCTCGGAGGACCTTGGATGGAGTTCGGACAACCCGATCCCGTCCGGCTGCCCTCGGCCAGGCTGGTCTCGTGTTGTCGGAGTTGCCTCGGGAGTCTCCTACAACACCTCCCGAGCGACCATCCCCGCTCGGCTGCCGCTCCTGCAGGGCAGCATAAGAGTCTGGTGATCCACCTCAAAATAGCCAAGCTTGGACGGCGGCCCCTCTGTCCTCTTCGACTGCCCCTCTGCCATATCGGCCCCATCCCAAGGCATCAATCCAATGATCAGTCCAATGATCAAGACCAAGGGAAAACTACGGCTGCTGGATCCTACTGCATTGGCATCACCCCGCGCCAAGCCTTCAGCCCGCCATGTCAAATCGGAAGCCGAATCATCAAGCTCCACCCATGCAGCCGATGCGCCGGCCGATGCGCCGGCGCAGGGCAATGCCAGAGAGTCCGTCCAAATCAAATCTTCTCGACATCCTCTCGAGGATCTCTTTATTCCCCCAGCCAGCTCGCACGGATCGCAACCCGGCTCTGCCTCGGACGAGTCAAGAATCAGTCCTCCGTGCTCGCTCAAGTCGCCAGTATCAGAACAGTCGCGCGATCTCTTCCCGACAGCAGCCGGTGGTGATATGAGTGAGCACGAACCCGCCAAGAACACCGTCTCGGCTGCTGCCATCCACGAGATGCACGAGTATCAAGTGCCCGTTTGCCTTTCCAGAGCACACGCCCTTGTATGCCACACCGCCAGCCGCCTCTCGGTTCACTACCGCTTTGGAAGTGTTTCATCACTCGTGTCGCAGTACCAGGCCCTGGTCCTTGCCACAATGGATTTTCTGCTCGTCTCTCGCACGATGACCTGTCAGAGATCCCCAATGCCCGCCGCGGGACAAAACAGGCACCGAGTCTACCCCGAAAACCCTCAGACAAGCGCCGCCGCTCACTCAACGATCTACCAAATGCTCTCTGAATACGAGGATGCAATTCGGATGTCCCTAGGAGTCCTTGGCGAGGCTGTATGCAGCCTCAGCTCTCCGAACAGCGAGGATTCGGGTTCGACCAAGGAGCCTCTCGCTGGCGAATTTGTGCCTCACTCGCTGGGCACAATCCGGATTCCGAGGGCCAAATCAGCCCCCGGCAGCGCCGGTGCGCTTGAGCAGCCTGACGGGATCTTTGGACGCTCTATGAGTGGCTTTATCGACACTCTGAAGCGAAGCTACGCCGGAGTCGTTAAGCTTGCAAGTCTCGACCACTCATCGCCCGCTCCAGAAAAGCGGAAGGGGCGCCTTCCTTATGATATCGGATCCATCCGCAACAAATCTAGTGTTCGTTATCCCAAGCGACATTCACCCCTCGGCCACTCAAACTATGACACCATTCGGTGCAACAACAGAGGGGAGTTTGTTGAGCTCAATGAGCAGTTCTACAATCCGCTTCTGGATCTCGCCCAAAACGGAGACTCGGGTGTGCCTCTGGATTTCGCCGGCGTTGTCAGTAAGCTAGGCTCAATGAAAGCAGTGATGCAAAGCAATCTTGAAGAGCTGAGAGTCGTCAAGAACCATCTGTCAGCAGAAGGACAGGTGCCGCCTGGGGTCGTCATGGACATTGAAATACTCGAGCGCTGTTACGATGTAAGTGCGGCAGCACTGGATGCAATGACCCCAGTCGCTAGGCGTTCAGTTCCGTGCTACTCCAATCCTGCCGCTGAGCTGGATACCATGATTTACTTACGCACTGGCGCATATGTCCATACCCGCTACCCATCCAACAGAGCTGTGTCAAAGATTTTGTATCACTGAACTCCACCGTCAGGAGCTCCATTCAAGAAATCGTCACGCAAACGCTTGCACAAACCCAGCAGCTTGAAGCACAGCTGACTGAATCGTCAGAAAAGCTTTTGGCCAAGGAATCTGAGATGAGCCGGATGCAGTTTGAAATCCTCCGAACGAAACAAGAAGTCAAAGATCTCAAAGCCAAGAATGCAGAACTCAAGAATCTAAACAAGGCACTGTCAAAGAGGTCCCGCGAATCTGTTGGACCCGTCTCCCGGGTACAGTCTATTACACTACACGAACCAAACGCAACATCAATGACATCTTTGAATGAAATGCCAAGGCGGCTGTCTGCGCGCAAGCCTCTCCCATCCATCGTACCGGATGCGACAGAGCTTGCGCTGACGGCTGCACACGAGCGAGTTCAGCCAAAGGCACGAGCATCCGCGCCGCAAGATGTTCGTGGCAGTCAATTGATTAATGTCGCTACAACGGTAAGTTCCTCGTCCTGATTGTTATTGATTACCTTATCCTGATTGTTATTGATTGCCTCATCCTGCAAGACTGCGGTTCTGACGCTGTGTCGTGAGCCTGCTGTTGTGAGAGCGTAAGGCATGAGAGCGGTGACTCTCCCAGTCGCGATCCACTATTTGACTTGAGCATCTGCGGTTAAAACAGACGCCCAATCGTCACTCCTGGAACTCAAACCCCTTTGAAGTATCCCTAATTACAACGGTCCAGGCGCTGTGGAGAGGCGAAAGTGCCCGCAAGCTGTACCGGAATCACATATTTCGGATGATGAAGGTGCAGGAGATTGTCAAGATCGAAAGGTCCTTCGTCAGTGGGCTCGCAAAGATTGAGCAGCAGTACATACGGCCAATTTGTCAAAGAATGAAGGAGGGGCGAAACATCATGAGCGAAGAGGATTTCGAAACAATATTCGATCCGATCAATCGGATCCATGACTTTAATGCCTCGCTGCTTTCGGAGCTGGAGCAGCGTGTGTCCAGCTGGCATGTCGACCAGATGATCGGCGATATCTTCGCGAACAAGGTATGCCGTTGGAAGTTCAGTCCCCAGCGAAGCCACGATCAAGTACAATTCTAACAGTCCAGAGCCAGTTGGGCCTCTCAGTTGACAGCTGTAGAGTCGGAAGATGTCGCCCCTGTGTCCTTACACCTATCCATATCTATTCACAGGCTCCTGACATGGTCATATATTCCGATTTCATCGTCAACTACCAAAAGATAAAAGACATGCTCTCAAGTATGGCCCAATCTGACGGTGGATACAAGTTGTTTCTCCTGGTAACCCCTCCGACTGCCACTGTACCTCAATCGAATCCGCTGTTGCGTGCATACGCGCGCTCGTCACTGCGGCGTTTTTACAAGCGATATATGCGAAATGTGGCCTTCTCTGTCGCTGGTCGTGAAAACTGATGATTCGCGCCATTGATTCTCGTCAC